TTGTATATATATATATAAAAAAATCCAGACTGGCTGTTGAAACATTTTGATATAAGCTTGAATGGGTATACATTTATTTTTCTAGGATTCCTCAAGGTCTCAGGTTTTTGTCTTTTGATGGAAGTAATAGAAGATAACAATAATCTCATGAGATAAAATTTAACCTAGCGGACAAAACTCAAATATTCATGTTTTTTTATAAGCCCGTTTACGGGACGTATTATGGTATACCGTTGACCGTTTGTCTGTCCGTCTGTCCGTCCGTCCATCGTCAACATGTCGGACATTAACTCAAAAAAGCTTTAACCAATATGCATGAAACTTTGGTGAATTGTTTTATATATCTATTGACGTGAGCTCCCTTTCGTTTTTTATAAATTTCAGATTTACCGTTTCCGAGTTTTGAGTCATTAAGAAAGGGGGGATTTTCCAGTTTTCCGACAATAACTCAAGAATGCTTTCACCAACTTGCAAGGAATTTTGGTGAATTGTTTATATCTACTGACATGAGCTCCCTTTCAATTTTTATAAGTTTTAGATTTTACGTTTCCGAGTTACAGGGTTTTATTCATAAAAAAAGGGGGATTTTCCATTTTTTTTAAATTTTAGTTCATTTATATGTTTTGGAGTTTAGTGTGACGTCCATTTTCATACTAGTACACATTATTGTTTAGGGGCCAGCTAAAGCCCGCCTCAGAGTGCGGGATTTTCTCGCTGTGTTGAAGACCCATTGGTGGCCTTAGGCTGTTTTCTGCTCTTTGGTTGGGTTGTTGTCTCTTTGGCACATTCCCCATTTCCATTCTCAATTTTATATCGCTGTATTTACAATGTACATGTAGCACTTCTGATCAGAATTCAAAAAATGTTTTACCTTTATTAATTAAAAGCTGACTTAAGCACATACCAATATTGTACTCAAAGAACAGTGTTAATGTACTTTTTAAAAAAAATGTTAGCCTAATAAATTCATACTTTTGTAAGGAATATGAATTACTAAGCCATTTTTAGTGCATCTCCATAGGCTTCAACAGTTTATCTTGAACTGTCTTTTTGATAAGATCAACTCATTTAGATTTCTGACATCCGATAACCTTTTAATGCTGCAAGCTCAGAAAGAAATGGTACCAAGCTGATTCTGGAATCTTAGTCTTGGGTAGTCTTCTTTTGTATGTTTATATTAAGCATCTTTCTGTGATGACACTCGTCTATATTTTCTGTACATTGTACCTGAAATATAATTTATACAGTTTTGCACTTGGGTTATCAAAATTGATAACAAAGAGATTTTGTGTTTACAAGTTTTTCTACCAATATAAATGCACTGAATTAAGATTGTGAGAGTAAATTTTTTCATCACCTGACTTAAAGGAACATTGCAGCATTTTTGGTGTCAAAACCTGATCTCTGTATTGAGTTATGTGAAGGTTACCAGGGATGTGTGCAGTTGAGTTGTTTTGGTGTAGGATATGGTACCCAAAACCATGACACGCTGAACCAGACTCGTCTTAAGTTTTGCAGTTCCCAGCCCCTTGTTCTGTTGCACCATCAGCCCTTGCAAGTTGATTCTGGGATTTCAGTACTGTGACAAAGAAGGATGTCTGGCACATAAGCTGTTTCACAGAGACAGTTTCTGACTTTTTGCTGATATTTGTAGACCTCGGACATTTGATGCTATTGCTGTCATGGTTCAATGTTCTGGGTACCTGTGACCAGTCTTGGCATATCGTATAAACAGAAGAGAGGAACAATTTGACCACTAAATTCAATTAAACGGTTTGGTGTCTTTATACCAATTAAACCTGCTTAAAAATGAAACATGATTCGCACTTGCAACTTCCCAAATTATTCCTGTACTGCTTCCTCGTGCAGCTTTACACATGCTCACCTGAAAAAGAGTTTAATTCATTTATTGGACATTTAAATTGTAACATTGTTTTCATGTCTCAATCACCCAAATTTTTAAAGTCATATTTAAAAAAAGAATGGTAAAATTTTTGTTGTTGTTGAGAGTGTATGTGATAAGGTCAGTTTAACCACTAATGGTAAATCAATGATATTTCGTATGGTTCATTGCAAGTCAATGATATTTTGTATGGAACATTGTAAGTCAATGATATTTTACCACAAAACACAGATCAAGTTTGAAAATGGGTGGCATCACTTTTACTGTTCTTGAGTTATGTCCCTTTATAAACATAAAAATTGCTAAATTTTTTCGTTTCCATTCTCTGATTTTAGTTTGCCTCAACCAAATGTTATGAAACTTATACACAATGCTTATTACCACATAATACAGATCAAGGTTGAAATTTATTTATTTTTAATATAAGCGTCATTAAGCCATTTACACTTTAAGGAGGTTGGAAATCAGCAGAAAAGCTTTCATAGGTTATCCTTGGAAGGATATTAACTTGAAAGTGCATTTTAGTACATGTAATTCCTTATTATTTTCATTTCATTTTTTAATTACACATACAAAATCTATATTGTTAAACTGTATATAGACAATATATAGTGAATATTGATTCCTATGCATTGGCATTTCTCATTTCCAGAGAGATTATTTGGTTCTGCACCTTCAGTCATACATGTAATTCATCGACATTGAATGTACTGCATAATTTACCAGTATTGCCATTTTCAACATCTGTATATATACTATCAAAATTACCTTCAGTGTATTTATTATTGACAATTTTGCCAATTTGAAATTGAAGATAAGAATAAAGGCCAAGATATTGCTTAAAAAATGCAATAATTGGTTCATCACAAATTTGCATCCCAAGAAAAATAAAAAAAGCGAAGCAATTTTTAGCAGGGAATTGAAACAAATGTATATATATATATTCTTTCTGGTCAGACTGATTCAGCATAAACACTACTACAGTTATATCTTTCATCATGGAGATATTTTTCTTTTGAGATGGGATTGATTGAAGGCAGCATTTTCTATTAAATCAACATGTTAAAATCCTTTTTGTTCTCATTCTACTGACCAGTAAATAAATATGTTGTGATCTCTATGGGGGGTTAGTAAGAAGCTAGGTTCTCTTATCACACTTATAGTGTTTAGTCTATGAATTATACATGTTACTACATCTATCATGTTGTTACTAATTTCATATTGATTTAATTAGTTATCAATTTGATTACTTGAACTGTTGATGACACATGTATTATTTCAAAACATGCCACTAGTCTTATCTGTTCAAAATCTGTAAGATCTATATGTCAGATTATATGCTGTTTATACTTGACTACTGTACTAGTATATAAATTAGAGGCATCATATTTAGACCCCTCAACCAAGAAATTTGTTTTGCATGCACACTAATCACTTATAAAAATTGCGGATTTTATCCAACGCAATCATAGGTTTGAACGTAGTTTTCAATTTAGACTTGTATATATATATATAAAAAAATCCAGACTGGCTGTTGAAACATTTTGATATAAGCTTGAATGGGTATACATTTATTTTTCTAGGATTCCTCAAGGTCTCAGGTTTTTGTCTTTTGATGGAAGTAATAGAAGATAACAATAATCTCATGAGATAAAATTTAACCTAGCGGACAAAACTCAAATATTCATGTTTTTTTATAAGCCCGTTTACGGGACGTATTATGGTATACCGTTGACCGTTTGTCTGTCCGTCTGTCCGTCCGTCCATCGTCAACATGTCGGACATTAACTCAAAAAAGCTTTAACCAATATGCATGAAACTTTGGTGAATTGTTTTATATATCTATTGACGTGAGCTCCCTTTCGTTTTTTATAAATTTCAGATTTACCGTTTCCGAGTTTTGAGTCATTAAGAAAGGGGGGATTTTCCAGTTTTCCGACAATAACTCAAGAATGCTTTCACCAACTTGCAAGGAATTTTGGTGAATTGTTTATATCTACTGACATGAGCTCCCTTTCAATTTTTATAAGTTTTAGATTTTACGTTTCCGAGTTACAGGGTTTTATTCATAAAAAAAGGGGGATTTTCCATTTTTTTAAAATTTTAGTTCATTTATATGTTTTGGAGTTTAGTGTGACGTCCATTTTCATACTAGTACACATTATTGTTTAGGGGCCAGCTAAAGCCCGCCTCAGAGTGCGGGATTTTCTCGCTGTGTTGAAGACCCATTGGTGGCCTTAGGCTGTTTTCTGCTCTTTGGTTGGGTTGTTGTCTCTTTGGCACATTCCCCATTTCCATTCTCAATTTTATATCGCTGTATTTACAATGTACATGTAGCACTTCTGATCAGAATTCAAAAAATGTTTTACCTTTATTAATTAAAAGCTGACTTAAGCACATACCAATATTGTACTCAAAGAACAGTGTTAATGTACTTTTTAAAAAAAATGTTAGCCTAATAAATTCATACTTTTGTAAGGAATATGAATTACTAAGCCATTTTTAGTGCATCTCCATAGGCTTCAACAGTTTATCTTGAACTGTCTTTTTGATAAGATCAACTCATTTAGATTTCTGACATCCGATAACCTTTTAATGCTGCAAGCTCAGAAAGAAATGGTACCAAGCTGATTCTGGAATCTTAGTCTTGGGTAGTCTTCTTTTGTATGTTTATATTAAGCATCTTTCTGTGATGACACTCGTCTATATTTTCTGTACATTGTACCTGAAATATAATTTATACAGTTTTGCACTTGCAATAAAAGGTTCCCCTGATGAAACCTTTTGATGTTATAATTAGTTATGCAAGTTTTTGTCTTTTATTTAACCTTATGTTGGCCTCACTGACATCACATCAGAATAACCAAGGATTATTTCCCCTTGCTTTGCCTCTAACATTTTCGACATGCTGTTAAAGCTGATTTGATAATACACATTCCCCTGACTATGGATAACAACCTGCTTTTGTAAAATTATTTTTGAAGAAAAATGGAATAATTTACCATCTGTTGACCTAGCATGTCAGATCATAAGTAATCACAGAAAATCGAGGAAAATTTTATATTATTGATCTGGTAAGGAAACTATGTGATTCATGGAATGTAATTTGTGAGCAATCTGTGTTCAGATTTGATAGAATTGGTGATATTATAATTATATGTCCGGTTTCGTCTGTCTATATTTTTTTTCGGATTACAATAGTGAATGGTAATTTACATGTGTACCTTTACAAGGCAAACTACAAACCAGACACAGGCCTAGTCCAATTTCACAGGTAATGGTGAGGGTTCGGAATTTTGTTTTGCATGGTCCAGTGTGCATTTGTTTTCTCTTTTTAAATACATACATGTAGGCATGATACAGTTTTGTACAAAGTAAACTTACATGTATACATGTATCACTTTGTTTTCAATTTGCAATTTTTCAGCAAAATTTATGGAATACATGTACATGATCAGGGTTCTCACTTGGGATTTTTCAAGGCGAGTCCAGCTGGGAATCGTCCTTTTTGGCCATTGTTAGTCCATCAGTGAGAAGATGAAATATTACATAATTTATGATACATTGTATCTGTCTCCATGACAAAAAAGAGCGAGGAAATGTCATTATGACTTCAAATTTAAATTTTTAAACTCTTGATATTAAATGATGATACATGTGCTACAATTATAATTTGATACAGCATTTTACAATCTTGATGCTTCTTTGAACTCACCATTTTAGAGAGTAATGAGTCCAGACAGATTTTCATGAGTTCAGGACTGTCATGGACTAGCCTTAGTGAGAACCCTGACGATAACATTACTGCTAAATGAACAAATAGTGAACGCATTTTTATCTTTTATTTGAAAAGAAATATGCAGTTGCACTCTTTACACTTGTATTTGAAATCAAGATAATTTTATTTCAAGAAAAGTGCATTTCTGCACACCGCCCACCTGTGTTCGAGTGTTTGTTCTTAAAATTTCATGGAAAATTGAATTGCAATGCATTGTTTGTGAAAGCATGTAGTATTTTCAAGTGCTTTGCTATTTGATCTTTCATTTGTGTAATCACATTATCAATCAGATTTGAACCAGTAAAACAAACAGAAGGCTGTCTGTTATCATTCAAGTGCAATAGACATTTTGTTTTGTTAAGCAACATTTTATTCAGTGTCAATTTCAGACAGCTGACAGTTTATACATTTCATTGTAAATTAGCAAAATCAAAATGGTTAAATTTGAAAGTACTTCATTAACTGCAGTGCTTTTTGTCATTTCGGGGCCTTTTATAGCTGACTGTGCGGTTTGGGCTTTGCTCATTGTTGAAGGCCGTACAGTGACCTATAGTTGTTAATTTCTGTGTCTCTTGTGGAGAGTTGTCTCATTGGCAATCATACCACATCTTTTTTATATGCCTTGTATTTACTACAATGGGAAAAGAAACAAAAGGATAATTTCTGTGTGTCACTTAATTAAAAATTACCCATCATATTTGATTGTAATATATAAAGCACTAATTCAGTAATTGCAAATTTAAATGTATGAACAAGCATGATTGATCAAACTTTTTCAGTTAAAGAAATTACAATCAAATTTGAAATAAGCAATATTTTTTATAGCTGTAGTTAATGAAAAAGATGTTATATTGATAATACATCCTATTTGTAAAGTATGTTAATTACCAACAGAGGAAGAAATGACTGGTTACACCCTATGGATTGACTTGAATCATGCTGACATTACTGTTTATTTATACAGAGGGTAAAATGGGGAAAGACTGACAGATGTTATTTAATATGTACATGTATGTATATGCATGCATGGCCTTTCTATGCAAAACTGGGATTGATATATTATACATGATGTACACTTCAGAGACGTGATTTATCGCAGACATGTAGTTAGTTAGTTACAGTTACAGAAGCCTATGCTGTAAGCATATATAAAGGCCCTTAAAAATGGCTAAGCGAGTCTGTTGGATTCCACTAACATACATCAATTCTCTTTTCCATTAAAATGTATGGATTGTATAATTTGTATCATATTAGCTGCCCTACTTTCATTAGGCAATGGTACTGACATATATATATAACATAGAGGGGATTTAGGGCTTTTTGTAGTGAAGCATTAACATGTGGGAGCCCATTGGTAGGCAGGCCTAGGGGTCCCTATTTTCTACTTGTACTGGCTGCAATGTCCATTTTTTGAGCCTGGCCAAAAATATGTCTGTTCAGGGTTTCCTTTAAAATCATAGGATCTATACAATCCAGGTAGTTGTGAGTTTTTGGGGGTTTTTTTTGTCACTGATTTTTTTTTATTATGGTTTTAAATTTAAACAGCTTATCAAAACCTCTACAATTTTTTTGCAATTTGTCAAAGACAAATTTGGCAATGTTTTAAAGTTTGTGTGATCAATTTTAATCACATATTTTGATTAATAAAAGTTAGTCATTTCCAAAATTAGTAAGTTTGGGAAGAAATCCTAGAATTTGAGGTTGGTTCGGAATCTCTATACACACAGAATAGAGAATAGAAATGGGGAATTATTCAAAGAGAGAATAACCCAACCAAAGAGCAAAAAACAGCCCAAGGCCACCAATGGGTCTTGAACACGGTGAGAAAATCCCACACCTTCAGCTAAACAATAATGTATACTAGTTCAGCAAAATGGATGCCACACTTAACTCCAAAATAAATATATAAATGAACCAAAATTAAAAAACTCACAAGACTAGAGGTTCCTGACTTGGGACAGACGCAAAAATTTGGCAGTGGTTAAACATGTTCTGTGAGATTTCAACCCTCCCCCTATACATGTACATTGTACCTCTAGCCAATGTGGAATAAACAAACACACATCAATATGCACAGAAAAACTCAGTTTACCTTTGTTTTTTTGTCTTTAGGGAACTGGTCATTAACAGCTAAGTGCAGCAAACACACATTTTAGTTTTAAGGTGAAAGAATTGCAAATGTAAGTTGATTGTCCCAAATTGAAATATATCATTTCTTTTTCATTTGATCTATATGAGAATAAACAATGGAAAAAGATGATTCATAAGTTCTGTGTGAACAGATAAGAGTTATCTGAGTATATATACACGTATGCCTTGGTACTTTTTATTTTAACTTTACACTTTACAAATTTTCTATTTTATCAATGAAACATTGTCTCCTGAAGATAAACATTTAACAGAGGTTCAAACTATACATGTATAGTCATATCCTTATTATAATAGACGCCACCATCTTTGTACTACATTTTTCATATTCCACCCATTCATTGTTATGTTTATCACATTTACAGATTAATGAACTCCCACTCTTGTTAACCTGGCATGTTTCAATATTATTTTATCAGACAGTGGCTATTGATTTGTCCCCCATTGTCTGTTTAATTGATTGATATGGTTTATTTTAATGGGTCAGAGTAATAAGCTTTAATTAGATCTTCAAAAAATCAATGAAATGAATCAGCCAATGACTAAAAAAATTGGTAGGAATCATTGATAGTGACAAGCTCTATTTGTCACTTGAAACATTCTGTTACATCATCATGACAACCAAGAAATTGGATATAATCTGTTGTTGAAGACATTGCATTGATTATAGACACACAATGTACATACTAATTAACAGCCATTTTGTGTTGACTTTAGGCTAATCTTAGAAGTTTTTGTGACTTGTATTTGTAATAAAGGAGCTCGAGTAAATGTACAGGTACTATGCACATTTTGTGTCATTGATTTAGACTAAGGGTCCGATTGGTTTTGACCAATTCAGAGTAAAATGTATGACAACTAAAAAGTTGGTTACTCATTTCCGCATTTCTGTATACATACCATTGACTATTTGAGGATCAGAATACAATTACCTTCTATTTTATTTTGTATGTACATGGAACCGACACCTGTCTTTTGTTGAAGGCTGTATGTTGCCCTCTGGTTGTTGTCTGGTGTTTTCTGTCTTTGGGTTCACTGAGTGCCTGTCTTGTAAATGTTCACCATAGATCTTTTTTTATTCAACCTGTATTTAAAAATCGTCAACTGCATATATTGCAATCAGTGGTCAAATTTTCCCTTATATAACTAGCAGCAGGGCTCTTCATGGGAAGTTGGCTTTCTTTGTACTGTCAAAAATGTATCTATAATACAATGTATGCAACCGAAAAATGAGCTTAGAAAGCCAACAATTGTCAGCATTTAAACCCTTAATTGTTGGTAGTGTTGGACTTCTCTCCATTAAAATAGCACTTCAATGATGACACACAGCTTGATCAAATAATTAAGAGTAGGCAAGTTAGTACTTCAGAGAAACACACCTGAATATTTAACCCAATTATTGTAGGAAAAATGTACTCCTGTTTGATAAAATACAGCCATGTGTTATCAATTTATAGTTTTGACCTTTAGAGAGATAGTTAAGGGGGTTCTGCCATACTGAATGATAGTAAATTATTGACTAATTGTATGCATGTTCCCATGGAATGAAAGTGTTAATCACAAACTGATTACTTCAGTATACATGTATTTCTGCACCAATTTACAAGTACATAAAAATGTAACCCTATTGTTATACAACTTTATGAAGATACATGTACATTTTGTATATCACCAAGTGTAGTTCATGTTTATGCATATGGTAATGTTTTAAAGTATTTATTTGCATCTTCAATGTGGGTCTAAAGTAATAATGCAAGGTATTGATGTTTTAATAGCAGATTTATACATAATATACAATTTAACTTATCAAATTTCTAGATTTTGGGAGCTACTCAAATCCAATATTCATACATGTCTATTACAGATTAGACTACAGTTATGCAAATGCTAAATTCTGTAAATGTTAAAGGCCATTGGTAATGTATATTGCATAAGCATATAATGAAAACGATTTCTTTTAGACATGCAATACTTTTATCCACTAGACCAAGAGTTCTAGTTGGACGCAATTGTGTGTTGATATTGATATTCATTGAAAATTGTAACAGTTCATTCAATAAACCCAGCTCAAGAGTTCTTTTGGTGATTTCTTCAAATGTACATAAATTAATCTTATACATATACATGTTTGTACAGATTTTTCCATTTACACAAAATGAAGTCCTGGAAGTAAGGCAGCCATTTAGTGCTCAATGTAGTGCTGGCTGTTTGAAAGAATTGTTAAAAGAACTCCTGAGGATTCAAATACCAATAAAAAAATGCATTCTAAAGATCAAAAGCAAAACTTATTTCAGAAGATGAAAAAAATGGTAACTCATTTTCTTTTAGCCTGTTGAACAGTGTGATTTTTCTATAGATTAGTATCTGAAATCCAGAAAATCTTATCTAGTCAATAGAACTTATTTATAGAAATGTAGGTCTATTATTATATTATCCCCCTCTCCTGACACACAAACACATTACATTGCACATGCACATCAGTGGGTTGTATACTTGTAAAAGCGATGGGCTACATTGTATGTCATGGTATGTCTGTCGGTCATATTTTGCATGCTTGATAAATTAATTCAAAATTTACAGATTCCATGAGTTTTTATTATCGATTGAGCAGGTCCTTTTTGTCAAAATGCCAGATTCAGGCCCGTGTCCAGACTTTTGAGTTTTAATCACTGCAAAAAAAATTTAGGGTGAAAATAAGCATTAGTAGTGCACCATTTATCAACTCTCTACAAGGTTGGATTGCTCGTTGAAGATTTACATACATGTTTTCATTTTTGTACAGGTATGATTTACTTGATGTATATTTTACCTTGTAACTGTACCGTGGGTGTAAAGAAAAACATTTGAATATCACACTTGACTAAAATCTCTTTCTGACAGCTTTTACCTAATAAATGGAGTGTAAAATGTTTTTACAAGGGACTGATTTTATTATACATACAAGTAATATGATGTATTTTATTTTCAATTTACAGGTCATGTGCGTCCAAGTGTAGCTAAATATAAAAAATAGTGAGGATATATAAACAAACAGCTTTATTGAGGGTCAGAAGAAGCTAAAATATCTTGGTAAGTACCAGCAAGGATTTTATGACTCGTTTCTTGTTACCATATATAATTTGTCAAAACATTTTATATAGGTTGATAGCCCTTAGATGATTAGAGTTACTTGTACAGATCTGATAGTCTAAGAGCATTTTCTCTAGAGCCTGCTGATTTATTTGTAATCTGGCAGAGAACTTGTCATCTCAACATGAAATAAACATTTGAAACTAACATCTTTTTTTTATGTTTTTCAACTTGATAATCTCCCTACAGCTACATGTAGTTTTCTTTCAGCATTGCATTAAAAACTTGTTTTCTAAATATATGATATATCAAACTAATCTCAAAACGACCCTTACATACATGTATCTCTGGAATGAAATATGCTGATTAGTGTTAAAAATTACATAGACTTGTTCTCTGGGATTTTAAACCTGAGAATTTTCACACACTGCCTACTTGAATGTTTATTCCAATCTACAAATGCAGGCCCTTTCATTCGGAGGTGGTACCTGGTACCCTTGTTCTCTACAGAATTTAGGGATTTTTATGTAAGGTACATTTATTCATGGAATATATTGAAAAGTACCACCTACAAATGGGAAAAGTACCAGTCAACATGAAAAATAATGAAATCCCTGCAAATGTAAAAAATTATTTCTCTATACAAATTGAAATTCAAATTTTACTGTAGGTAATCCAGCCTTATTACAATTTACAACTACATGTATATGCACAATGAGAGACCACTAATGTCAACATGTACATGTATATAATGATGTGCTTTATTCTGGTTTGATAGATTTAACATCTGTATTGGCTTAAATATTTACTAGGATGTCATTGGAAGTTACCACTTGAAATCACTGCTGTTGTCTAGTTTCATTTTGCTTTACTTCACACAATTCAAGCTGCACTATTATCTTATGTTTACTTTTACATGAGGTGTCAGTAAAAGTAAAATTAATTATCTGCACATCTGTCAAATACCTTTTTGGACCTCCATTGCTTAAGGGTTATGCAATTGAATACCAAGGTATTAGGTGCAAAGAATATTCTTATGTTAATTGATTTTTGCGTGGATACAAATGAAAATGTTATGTTTATCTGTTTATTTCTTGTATATTGGTGTCTGAATGAATTGTCAAGTACTGGTTTGCTATTTATTACAAAGTTGAACATTGAAGAACTTGCATTTGACCTTAAAATTTGTGAATGTGAAAAGGAACAGCTCGTTCTCTATCAGTCTATGATAATTTATTCATAAATTTTATAAGACATGCATGTCTATTTGAAGCTCTGATCTTTGTCCCATTCATACATGATGCTCACTTTTATATTTGATAGATTTTGATATTACATCATTACCTGTATGAGGTACATTTGTACATGTTATAAATTGTATTTTAACTGCATGCTCAGCAATTCTGACACTTGATACATGTATACATAGAAATTACAGATGAATGGAGAAAGTAGCTATTTTTTGGTAATCATGGTTGCATAATACTAGAATAAGACCGTTTCATATCATGCTAAGTTGAGAATATTTTATTGCTTATAATTACAGAAGTGATATCTATGGATTATTGATCCCTGGTGTTGGAATAATTCACAATAGTTACATTTCTCTTGGTTACTGAATTGTGTGTGAACCAAAATGGATTCAGTTAAGCTTTAAATGCTTAAACATTTACAAGAAGTAACTTGAATGCATTTGTAAAGTTCTAAAACAGGATTGATGATTTGGACATTACAGGACAGAATTCATTACCTTTCCAGGAATGTATAATTCAGAAGTACAGAAATTTCTAAATGTATTGACCCATGGTTTAAGCTTTTTGGGGTGGGGGTGAAATTAGTCCGGGAAAACATGGTATTACTATATTTACTGGTTGAAATTATCTTTGATGATTAGAATAGCTTTCAGTAACTAATAATAGTACTAGTAGAATTGTACCTTGTCTGGAACCACCTGATTAATGGTTAATAAAGTCCGTAATAGACTGGACACTTGAACATATCCCTCAGTCATGACAGCCAATAACTCAAGATTTTAAACCAAACATTAATAAATTTCTATAAACTGTTGGACCTAAAGAAACAAACTATCATTATGATTTATTGGACAATCTGTTTTATTGAAAATGGACGAAATATAAACCACCCATATAGAGTAGAATGTAGATATAGTTATACCCTGTACCAGGGAGATTTAATTGAAAATTTAACTAACAATATCTTGTAGATTATCTGGTAGTAAAAGGTTGTAAAATAATCCACTTTTATTTTGATACAAATTTCCATTCAGGTCAGAAAGTGAATGAATTGTTTGTAGTAGACACAGGTAAATGTTTACATTTTAAAAAAGGTTTTAACAAGACTTTATGATGTTTACAGTGTTTTTGGGTTTGACTGAACAGTTTTAAAGAGATTTAAAAAGGTGTAATGTATAACTTTTGAGGTTTCTTCTGTCTTATTGCAAGGTTCAATGCAATATAGAAATATCTTGGAGATAGGAGTCAATCACCATAGTTCCAATCATTTAGAAAATGGTAATGAAAAAAGGGGGAAATAGCAAGAAGTTTAAAGGGAAAAATATATGGAAAAGGCTGGAGAATAATCAGACATTGGTGAAAATGTGGCTATTTATTTTACCTGACATAGATTGTGAAGATTACCAGTTGGTACAACATTGATATTGTAATGCTTATTGTTGTGATTGATTTCAGCTTCAAATCAATATCCTTTTTTATAAAAATTTCTTAAGAACTTTTTTTAAGTAATTAACTTAGATTTTCAAATTCCTTCAGGACATTTTGAGACAAAGGTGTACTGTGACTTGTGCCCTCAAGAAAGCAAGAGTATCAATTATAGGTAAAATTAAACACTTTGCATCATTAAAAGGTCAGTGGTCTCAATATCATGCCTGTCAGTCAGAAGTAATATATTCAGGTTATTGAACTTACATATTATAAGAATTGATGACTTTATTTCTGGACTGTAATGACTATAACAGAAGTAACAAGCTTGTTTGCCTCTAGTTCAAAGGTCATTAACAATATATTGCTGATATAAGCAGCTAAATCTAGAAACTTGTTGTTATATTTGTTGTTGGGTTGCTGTTTCATTGACATACCCCACATCTCCTTCTGTCTTCTGTTTATAATTGATAAATTGTTTTAGTTCACAGGCCTATGCTGCAACATTCATTTCCCAGTAGATGAAAGATTTTTGTTGTGGCTGATGTTTACATTCAATTTGTAGATTCACAGATATAAAAATTATATGTAAATTAATGCATGTGAAATGGTAATTTTTTGTCATGTGAGGAGTTAACTATGCAGCAAACAAGTGAAAAATTACATTTAGTGCAAATTGTAGACCTTTTCACATTCATATGTCATTGTAATTATAGATGAAAGTCATCAATTTGTGCAGATTGCATCACAACTCCTTTTATGGATGCATTAATGCAAAGTTTCGTTGTCCTGTACCACATCTTATTTTCTTAAGTGTTTTTCGATAGTTTTATTTATTTTGTTGATACTAGCTTTTATATTTAAAATTGAACAGTTGGTTTTTATTGTAATGAAACTCAATGCCAAAATAAAAAAAATAACATGGATATTAATTTATCAGTAGAACAGTATACTAGGGATGATTTTATTTTCGTGGGTACCAATTTTCTTTAATTGATGAAAAAATTGTATTTTCCTGGATTTTTGATTTTGCAAAATTCTGCACACTAGCCTTAAGAAAATTTGTTTTTCGTTAAACATTTAATTTCGTGGCTCATCTTTACCCACGAAATCCACTAAAATTGGTATCAAACGAATAATAATGAATCCCCAGTACCTACCTTGTGGCTATGGGCCTTTCAGTCTTGGGATGAGCCTCAAGAATTAATTAAAATCAGAAACACTCGAGGGAATGCATAGTAGCAGACTTATACCATTTGCCTTGGATGTTTTTTTTTGTTTTCATTTGAGGTGAGCCACATTAATGAATTTGATCAATAAAATTATTTTTTTTGGACCAGTCAGAAGTCAGTTTTCTGTCCTTTATATATAACTGTAGTACATGCAAGGTGATTTTTCATTGAATGTTGGTGATTCTCTATGACGTGTTTTTCTGTATATTCAGCATATAGTAAATGACATGGTCATAATAAGAGTGCTACCACCTTAAATCATTATCAGTTTCCTAGGTTTGAAAATTATTCCAAGAAAACCATCAAGAATAATTTTTAACTGAATCACTTTGCGAGTACTGTAAAACTGTTTTCTTTTTATTATTAATTGTTGGTGAAACATGTTAAATGACCATCCATTTTTGTACATTTTTTCTGCTCTTCAATATCCAAGAAATCCAAGATTTTTCACAACCAAAAAAACGATAAATTCAAAATTGAAAACTTCATTCTGTGTGTACAATCCTTTGTGATATATATTAAAAAAAAAAAGAAACACTTACATTTTTCATAAAAACTATTGTTTGTTTCTAACAAACTTTTTGTTTTGGGTTTCTAACATCCATATTCAACATTTACATGTAGTAATGGATTTAATCCCAAAGTTATCTCCCTTTTAATCAGTGAAGTCTTAAAGGCTTTTAAATCAATAATGACGGATGCTCAATGGTCAATTGCATTTTTAAAACAGTCAGATAGCTAATTTGCTACACTTGTAAGTAAATTCCATAGATCTATTGATGGGGAAATATTTTCTGTAACAGCTGGGCTGTTTACAAGTCAATAGAAAAATATGTATACAGAATGAAAGTATATTTCATTGATTTGTCAATCAGGGTTTGTCAGTTGCATTGGATAAATATAGGGAATTTGTGGACTTAGAGTATGTAATGGAATGTATATACATGTATGTCCTAAGTTGTTAGCATTGTAGGACAAAACGGTTTACACTTGAAGTTGCTTGTAGAAAGGGTACAGTCCAAGTAGGTGAGTTGTCTACGTAGCAGATTGAAAGCTTCATGCTCAGATTACTCAAGCTTACTAATTCACA